CCAATGAGAGTAAGCAGACTTGTTAGAGCTCCCACAGAGGAAACAAGAAGATAGAGAATATCAAAAGAAAGGTTAACTACCATTACTTTTGCCCTATACTGCAATCATCTCCTAAGTGGTCTCCCTGATAATCTTTGGCCCCTTTCTAAAGCTTTATCCAGGTGGTAGCTATGACCTTCTTTGAAACAAATTTGATGATGTCACCTCCAGCCTCATCTTGTACCACTCTCCATGTTGGCACCATATCTAACTCCTTTAAGTTCCCCAAACATCTCATGTTCCCCTATTTTATTCCCTCTTCCTAGAAAGCTTTGTCTCCCCACCTTCCCTTATCCTATACACCCTTCAAACTACGCTGATTAGATCCAATTCTCATCATTACAGGTTGAGTATACCTTACCGAAATGCTTGAGACTAGAAGTGTTTCAGATTTCAGATTTTTCAGATTTTGGAATATTTGCATTATATTAGTTGAGCATCCCAAATCCCAAAATCTGAAATCCAAAATGAGCATTTCCTTTGAGTGTCATGTTGGTGGCTCAAAAAATTTTGGATTTTGAAGCATTTCAGATTTCTGGATTTGGGATGCTTGACCTGACAGTTGTAATCTTCCATTTACAAGTGTAGTTATTTGATTATTGATTTTCCTCACTAGACTGACTAAAGACTTTATGGAGAAACCATGTTTTTTCCCATCACCATTGTGCCTCTCAGTGCAGTGCCATGCCTACAACATAGTAGGTGCTCAATAAATACCTGTTGAACGAATGAACAAACACAGAAGGTAAACCTGTCAAAAACCATCTATCACAAGTAGAAAAAGGGTATGAGACAATGGTAAGTGAATAGAAGTAAAAGAAACAAGTCAAAGAGGGGAAAGTAAAAAATTCAACACAAGCTGTGACCTAATGAAATTCATACAATTTTTTTTTTTTTTTTTTGAGACAGAGTCTCGCTCTGTTGCCTGGGCTAGAGTGCCATGGCGTCAACCTAGCTCACAGCAACCTCAAACTCCTGGGCTCAAGCAATCCTTCTGCCTCAGCCTCCCGAGTAGCTGGGACTACAGGCATGCACCACCATGCCTGCTAATTTTTTCTACATATTTTTAGTCGTCAAGCTAATTTCTTTCTATTTTTAGTAGAGATGGGGTCTCGCTCTTGCTCGGGCTGGTCTCGAACTCCTGAGCTCAAATAATCCTCCCACCTCGGCCTCCCAGAGTGCTAGGATTACAGGCGTGAGCCACCGCGCCCGGCCGAAATTCATACAATTTTAATGTGGTATTATACGAACAAAATAAAGGAGGTACGATAGTAGCCAGTAGTTCTCCTTTTCCCTAGAGAAGCTATAAAAGGAAATGAAATTAGAATTTCACTTAGCAGTTACAAGAATATAAAATATATTGTAGAACAAAGATATCAAACAGGCATCTCAAATATAATACGACCAAGCAGTGCTATTAATTTCCTTCTTATTCCTCTGCCAGTCTACTCTATTTCAGTAAATGAAATGAAATTATCTCTATTTCAGATAATTGGCATTATCTCCCAATACTTCAAGGCAAAACCCTTCAATTCTTCGCTTTCCCTGATCCTCACTGTACAATTCATCAACAAGGCCTGTAAGCTCTATATCCAAATATATCTTCGATCTATCCACTTCTCCTCCCCAATTTCCACTGCCACCATCCTAATTCAAGCCGTTATCACTTCTACCTAGACTACTACAGTATTATCCTAACTTATCTCCTTGTTTTTAATGTTTATTTTCTCTAATTAATTCCACAGAGCAGCCAAAGTGATTTTTCAAAAAGATAAATCATGACACCTCTTTGCCCCAAACTCTTCAACGATTTCCCATGACCAAAAATGAAATAAAAATTCTTCATGATCCTGCATGACAGATCTGTCTCTCATATCACTCTCTCCTTTGCTTGCTGTATTTCAGCCATATGACCTCCTTTTTGTTTATCAAATGGAACCATATATCACCTCTGAACCTTCACACATATCCTTTACCATACTCTGAACTGTCTCTTAGTTAAGGTGTTTACTTACTCAAGTGGCCTTTCCTAACTTTAACATGAAGTAAAATGGCTTCCCTATCATTGCTCTGTTTACTTCTTCCATAGTCTTTATCATACTGTTATCATCTAGTTTATTTCATTAACAAATACGTTTCAGAAATATGATGGTGAAAAGATAAACTCATTGCTTTCACAAAGCTTATGACAGACTTGAGTTAGCGGGATTAAAAAACATGAAGAAATAAATTATGTGATAATAGCTAATACAAAAAATAAAACAATAAAAGGTAATAGTGCATACATTGGTGGCACCAGGACATTTTAAGTAGGATGTAAAGCAGACCTGAATAAAGTGAAGAAGGGAACAATATGAAAACCCGAGGTAACATACGGTTTGATAGAACAAGGAAATAAGACTTAATGTTAGACAGATCATAGGGTGACTATATTCTACAATAATCTATCGTACATTTTAAAATAGCTAGAAGAGAATAATTCAATTGTTTTTAGCATTAAAAAAAGACAAATATTTAAGGTGATGGATATCCCCCAACTACAATGATTTGATCTTTACAAATTATATGAATGTATTAAATTATCACATATACCCTGAAACTATATATACCTATTACACATCAATAAAAATAAATTAATTTTTAAAACTGGGGTAACATTCTAAATGGATTATTTTCTACTCATTGACCATCTCTCCCACTAAAACATAAGCTCTATGAAAGCAGGGACGTTGACTATCTTATGCACTGTTCTATTCACCTTGGTACAATGACTCATAGACAAGTATAAATATTTGATGAATGAATGAAAATCTATTTCAGTTTTTCAAGAAGTTTACTGGAGGAGTTTGGCGGCAGGGAAAAAAAAGTTTACTGGAAAGCAAAGAAAGTGTAACATGTAAATATTTTAATATGAAATCCTAATAGCCTATGGGGAAACATTTTGAAAACTTGTAACATGATAATACATATTGTATGGCAAATTACAGTGGAGAGTTTTATTATTAGAAGCATAAGGAACCAAAGGAATCTTGGAAAGTTAAACAGAAAACAGAGATAGTAATAAATACCATTTGTTTAGTTGGAAAGATTCAATACAATATATGAAAATTGGTTTTGAAGAATTAAAATCCTTCCTTTTCCTTATTCTTATGCTCTAAATAAGTTACCATTTGCTTTCTTTATGAAAATGCTGAAGACATGGTGAAACTCAAACTTATTACACAGTACATTCAAAGATCCTTAAATTAGAAGAAGCTAAAAGCAATAGTTTGAAATTCACATTAACTCTGCATCTGTTGGCTTTATTTATGCTTTTTTATCCTTCCTATGTTCACCCAATCAGAACTTAAACTGAATCAGAAGCCTACAGAAGCCCTAAATTTCCCATAAGCCCTAAATTTTCCATAGCTCTAAGTATAATCACCAGCATACTGAATATAATAAACACCAGTAAGTCATCTTTTGAGTTTTCAATTCCAAAACAAAATCAACTCAGGTAGCACTACCTGTAATACAAGCTGCACCACTCAGCCTCTTGACAAGTACCTACCTATCCTGCACAAACTAAAACGGAGGTAATATGAAATGAACCCAGAAAAATGCACAAGCTTTTATTATCTTCTTACGAGGAATTTCATATAAAGCTCTCATCACTTTTAGATAAAGACTGGCTTGCACAGCAAGATTAGACTTTTTTTCACTTCACTATACTCAAGTGGGAAGAATTATGAAAATTACTTTCTCCCATCTCCATTAGTTCCTGTTCTTCCATTAGATTAATATTGAGTACCTACTGTGTTCCAGGCACTGTCTGAAGTGCTGTTAATAAAGCAGTAGACAAGGCATTCCCATCCCTTAACACCCTTCTATAAAACCTGTTACCACCAAGGTTCTTTCTTAATTTTAAGTTAACTTGTACATTCTTAATTCGGTAATGTTTCTAAAGTTATTTTTCAATAAGTATCGCTTATGACATACTGCAATGAAAATCATCTGCAAACTTACCCAAAGAGTAGGTAATTCTTTTCAACAAACACTACGCAGAGAGGCTCATTTTCCTAAACATCATATTTATAAACTCCATTACCAGTGCAAACACTGAACCCACAGTCAAATTACATAACGTGAGCGTTTAAGTTATTGGTCCAGAACTGCAATAAAATTTAGCTGTATTTTTGGAGTCTATATAAACACGGGCAAAAAGCCAATATTGTTACCCATTACCAACAAAAACATATAGCTTTTCTTAAAACTGGCTTAGTCCACTTACACTAAATCTTTAACTTTCCCCTCACAAGTGAATAAAACATACAAACTTTGTTTATACGCTTTCGTGAAAGTCTCAGAATTGACATTGTAAACCTCGTTCTCTTTCTTCAAATAAATTATTTTACAAAATAGTTTTAGCAAAACACATGCCATAAGAGTATAGACAAGGCCAGGTCCAATCTGAATACTGGCTGCAAAAGGAAGCCTGAAGCGCTGTGAAACAAAAAGACCAGGAGGTATAACACATACCTCACTTAAACTACCCATCCCCTTCCTACTTAGACTGGCACCCAGTTTGCACCCGACCTTGGCAATTTGAAACTTTCCATCAACACCAAACAAAATCTGAATGCAGGCTGCGCTCATCCTTAGGCCACCACCAAAAAAAAAAAAAAAAAAATGTAAAAATGTCAAACACTTAAGCGCGCACTCTCAGAGGATGCCCACCAACTGCCGCTCTCAGTCCGATCCACCCGAGCCCCCTCGGCCTTTCCGGCTCACTGCCGAGCCCCGAGCCCCGGCACACTCGAACCCGGCGCGCTCGCAACACATTCCCTCCCTGCCATCGCCCATCCTCGTACCTGCGCTGTCCCCCAAACCCACCAAGCGCAGATAACTGAATATCCCGGGTTCCAGGGGCCACGTTTTCCTGTATTTCTCCCCCTACCCCGCAAGGGCAGAAATAGACATACCTTCCAGAAAAGTAATTTCCCCAGCGCTGCCTCCGCTCTTGCCGGCCGCCATCTTCCTCCTCCCACGCCGCCTCCTTCTTAATCCATGGCCCACACCGCCGCCGTGCTCGCCGGGATGAGGGGCCGCGCCGCAGGAGGGTAGCCGCCGCAGGGTTGCGGGCCTCGGGTTCAGCCGTCAGGCGGGCGGCGTTCCCACGTCCAGACAGGCCTACACAAAAGCAGGCCAAGCGCGCCCAGGCCTGTCCGCGGGCTGGCGGGCGACGAGGCCCGCGGCCTGGGCTTCTCTTCAAGCCCCTCGGGGGGAACGCGAGCGGCGACGACGGCGACGGCGCTTCCCGGGCCTGGTTCCTCTCGGCCCACGACTCCCCATCCACCGCCCACCCAGGCAGCCTGAGAAGCTTCTCTGAGCCGCGGGCCCCGAGCAAAAAAGGATGAAGGCGAGCACACAAACACGCCTCTCTTCGTCCCAAGGCCGTAAAATGGCCGCACCCGCCGCGACGGAGCGGCGAGGTCTCCGCGACCGACAGGCGCCCGCAGGCCCCTCGCTCTTTCTGCAGCCGCCGCCGCTATGGCCGTCCGTCCACCCCGCCCAGGCGTGAATGCATCAGCGGAGGCCTTTGCGACTGTCCATGTGGACAGGGGTGGGTCTCCTCTGCCACCGCCTCGCGCCGGTCGCCACAGCAGCTCCAGCCGCCGCTGCTGCCGCTCCTCCCCCACGGACGCTGGATCTGCCGCCTGGCTCCCGCCCCCGCCCCGACCCGACGCTGCCGCCCCCAGTGCGGCTCCCCCTCAGGAGCCCGGACTCGGCTCGCGGGCAGAGCGGGCTGCGGCGCCGCACCGAACCCTGACCTGTGGGCGCCCGCCACCCGAGCTCTTGGCAGGGCCGGCCCTTCACGGCGCCGGCTCGGCCTAGACACGTTACTTCCAAAATCCCGACCGCCGAGGGCCCCATAGCAGACCTGGCGTGTGAGCGCTTCTAAGCCGGGCCGGTGATGTATTTGCTCTTGTGGCACCACAGACGCCTTCGAAATGTTAAAAGTTCATTTCTTTGAGGAGGCCTCAATTTAAACCACAGCCAACTGAAGTGAAAAAGGTAGTGAGGTAGTGCAATCACATGTTTAGAAATGATTTGTGGTGCACATTTATTTTTAAAGAAGTGTTCAAAATAATTTATCAGGGAAGATTCTACCAGGACGCTTTGGATGGCAGTGTTAGGGAAAAAAGCCCTTTGTCATTTATTTGCCTGAGATTTCAAAAACCATACCCTGTCTTACAAGTCAGACCTTATAATTTCAGATGACTGTATTTTGGTTTTTCTTTTCTTTCCTTTTTTTTAATTGTTCCTATTTTAAAAATAATACATTCTCATTAATATAGGAAACGCAGAAAATGATAATAAGTTACCTCATAGTTTCACCACCGAAACTCAACTCCTTTAGTTATGTAGTCCTCAAATCGGCATTTTTCTTAAGTCCTTCAGTATCCCTCTTTAAAAAACAAAAACGAGCAAAAATCTCCGCTATATGTTAATGAAAAGTTAACAACAATTAACACGATGCAGAAAAACTAGGATTAAGTGCAGTCTTTGGGGAATGAATTGTTCTAATTCACTTGTCCTTGTTAACCAGGGCTTAAGCAGGAAACCTTATTGTTTAAAACTTACTTTAAAATCTTTTTCTAAAATGAACCCATTATCTTTCCTGACCTAGCAAGAGTAGAGTAATGAATACAATTTATTATTATTTGTTATTTTTGTTGCCTGAGGATGTTGCATGATCCTGTTGTGATGTTCTATGACATAGTCTGTGCCAATGACAGTATAATACTGAGGTGTGTAGAATAGATACTAGACAGATGTGGGTGACTGGTCGTTTATACAGGCTCCAAAGTGTAGTTTAAAAGAAATCTTTGATTTTAAAATGCATATATGCTGGCTTTGAAAATGGAGGAAGGTGAGGGGAGTCAAGGAATGTGGGTGGCCTCTAAAGCTGGAAAAGGCAAGGAAATTGATTCTCCCCTGGAGTTTTCAGAAAGGAAAACACACTTTGATTTTAGCCCGGTAGGACAGGTGTTGACCTTAGAGAACTGTAAGAGGGTAAATTTGGGTTAAGTTGCTAAATTAGTGGTAATTTGTTGTAACAGTGCATAGAAACGGAAACAAGATAGAGTTGTATAAAAGATGTCTTTTAAGCAAGCTGAGTTAGGATCTTTCAAACAAAGTTCATTGTTTTAAGTGTTAATTAATTTCAGCTAATCTCTATGGGACTCCATAATTCCAATTTTGAAGGAGATGTATGGATTAAACCAATGGTTCTCAAACTTTAGCATGCATAAAAATCATTTGGAGGGCTTGTTAAAACAGATTGCTTTACCCCACCTCCAGAGTTTCTGATTCCATGGCTCTGGAGTGGGACCCGAGAATTTGTCTTTCTAACAAGTTCCCAGGTAACACAGATGCTGCTGATCTCACAAATCCACATTCTGAGAACCACTAAATTAAACAATCTCTAATTTCCTGTCTAATTCAGTTATTCAGGTTCTGTGAGTCTACGATTACAAGTGAAATTACCAGTTTCCATATTAAGGTATATATTAAAGATATTTTCTAAAAATCAATGTTCTACCATGTGAGTATGATCAACTGAGAGTTGGTATCATGTAATCTGTTATCCAGGATTCATGGCCTAGAAATTTTCAGATTTAGGACATGCTCTTGAAACTTAGGTGTATTTGGTATACATACAAATATGTATTTAGTGTATTTACAAATACTCAAATTAGCCCTTCTTCTTTATACATACATTTTCAAAGCTCAGGGATGTTATGGAGAATGCCTTTGAATATCAGAAATATGGCTAATTACAAAACCAGTTCTCTGAGTTATTTATTCAATTTTTATTAAAAATCTAGCATATCTTTATCATTTATATTTAGCAAATTCCATTCAGCTGCCAGCTAAATTATCATATTAAGCAAAATTTAATTCTGGCATAAAGGATAAGTATTATATAATGGAAAAATAGACTATTTTAGATTTGAATAGATGGCTAATTACAGTGGATAATAAGCTACTTTATTTTTTCTAAGAAAGAAAATCTGGAAAAAAGAAAGAGAAAACAGAACAGGGTCCTGCCATACAAGATTCTAACCCTAATGCCATATCTTCTCCAATGTCTTTTTATTAATATACTTATTCTGATCACCCACTCGCAAGGTTGCACCCTGAACCTGCTTCTCTTTCAAATTCAGTACAGGCGTATCTTATTTTATTGCATTGCACTTTCTTGCCCTTCACAGATAACTGCATTTTTTACAAATTGAAGGTTTGCCATTTTTCCAATAGCATGGGCTCACTTTGTATCTCTGTGTCATATTTTGGTAATTCTTGCAATATTTCAAACTTTTTCATTATTATATTTGTTATGGTGATTTGTGAATCTGTGATCAGTGATCTTTGAGGTTACTCTTACAATAGTTTAGGGGTGCCACAAACCGCACCCATTAAGCAGAGAACTTAACAGATACTGTGAGTGGTTCTGATTGCCCCACCAACCAACCATTCTCCAATCTCTCTCTCTTGCCTCACTTCTCCCTATTTCCTGAGACACAGCGACAATAAAATCAGGTTAATAACCATATACATAATGACCTCTAAATGTTCAAGTGAAAGGAAGAGTCCTGTCTCTCACTTTAAATGAAAAGCTAGAAATAAGCTTAGTGAGAAAGGCATGGAGAAAGCTGAGATAGGCTGAAAAGCTACGTCTCTTAGCCAAGTTAGCCAAGCTGGGAATGCAAAGGAAAAGTTATTGAAGAAAATTAAAAGTGTTACTCCAGTGAACACACAAATAATAAGAAAGCAAAGCAGATTTACTGCTGATAAGGAGAAAGTTTTAGTGGTCTGGAAAGAAGATCAAAATAGCCATAACATTCCCTTAAGCCAAAGCCTAATCCAGAGCAACATCCTAACTCTATTTAATGAAGCTGTGAGAGAGGTGAGGAAGCTACAGAAGAAAAGTTTAGAGCTAGCAGAGGTTGGTTCATGAGGTTTAAGGAAAGAAGCCATCTCCATAAAATAAAAGTCCAAGGTGAAGCAGAGATGTAGAAGCTGCAGCAAGTTCTCCAGAAATCTAGCTAAGATAATTGACCGAGGTGGCTACACTAAACAACAGGTTTTCAATGTAGATGAAACAGCCTTCTATTGGAAAAAGATGCCTTCTAAGATTTTCATAGCTAGGCAGGAGAAGTCAATGTCTTGCTTCAAAGCCTCAAAGGACAGGCTAACTCGCTTGGTAGGGGCAAATGCAGCTGGTGACTAAGTGGAAGCCAATGCTCATTTACCATTCCCCAAATCCTATAGCCCTTAAGAATTATACTAAATTTACTCTTCCTCTGCTCTATAAATGAGCAAGAAAGCCTGAATGACAGAACATTTGTTTATAGCAAGGTTTACTGAATATTTTAAGCTTACTGTTTAAGACCTACTGCTCAGAAAAAGAGATTCCTTTCAAAATATTACTGCTCATCGACAGTGCACCTGGTCATCCAAGAGCTGTGATGGTGGTGTACAAGGGGATTAATACTGTTTTCATGCCTGCTAATGCAACATTGATTTTGTAGCCCATCGATCAAGGAGTGATTTCGGTTTTCAAGTCTTATTATTTAAGAAATACATTTGTAAGGCTATAGCTACCCTAGATAGTTATTCCTCTAATGATTCTGGACAAACTAATTGAAAACCTTCTGGAAAGGATTCACCATTCTAGATGCCATTAAGAATATTTGTGATTCATGAGAGGAGGTCGAAATATTAACATTAACAAGAGTTTGGAAGAAGTTGATTCCAACTCTTATGGATGACTTTGAGGGGTTCAAAACTTCAGTGGAGAAACTGCAGATGTGATGGAAATAGCAAGAGAAATAGAAGTGGAGCCAGAAGATATGACTGACTTACTTCAATCTTATGATCAAACTTGAATGGATGAGGAATTGTTTCTATAGGAGCAAAGTGGTTTCTTCAGATGGAGTCTTCTTCTGGTAAGGATGCTGTGAACGTTGTTGAAATGACAACAAAAGATTAGAATATCCCATAAACTTAGTTGATAAAGCAGCAGCAGGGTTTGAAAGGATTTACTTACACCAATTTTTTTTTTTATTTCAGCATATTATGGGGGTACAGATGTTTAGGTTACATATGTTGCCCTTGCCCCCCCTCCCTCCCTAAGTCCGAGTTTCAAATATGTCCATTCTTCGGGTGGTGCGCATTGCACTCTTTGTGTATGCATATACCCGGCCTCTCCTCCCTCCTCCCCCCTCCCCTCTCCCCACTGCCCAACATCCAATAGATGTTATTCTTATATGTGCACTTATGTGTTGATCAGTTAATACCAATTTGATGGTGAGTACCTGTGGTGCTTGTCTTTCCATTCTTGGGATACCTCACTTAGTAGAATGCGTTCCAGCTCTATCCAGGAGTATACAAGAGGTACTTACACCAATTTTGAAAGAAGTTGTACTGTGGGTAAAACATTGTCAAACAGCATTGCATGCTACAGAGAAATCTTTTGTAAAAGGAAGAGTCGATCTATGCAGCAAACTTCATTGTTGTCTTATTTTAAGAAATTGCCATAGCCAACCCAACCTTCAGCAGCTGCCACCCTGATCAGTCAGTAGCCATCAACATCGAGGCAAGACGTAGCAGCAAAAAGATTACAACTTGCTGAGGTTCAAATATAAATTATTTTTTTAATTAATT